TTTAATAAATAATTACTTGAATAATATTGTACTATAACATTCATTTAGTAAATATTTGCTAAATAAAAAAAAATAATAATTCATAGTTTGGTCATTTAATTAATGATTTTTGTACCAAATAAAAATATGTTTACCTTTAGTAAGTATTCAAAACTGATATTTAAACAAATATTTATTAAATAATTAGCGTATTTTTCTCCCAGTATAGTATTTGAGAATATTGTGAGTTTAATCAGAACTTTCTGAAAAAAGTAAAGAGAAATCAAACAAATATTAAACAGAATAAGCACGTTAAGTATCCTGGAAAAAATTACTAAATCTTAATACATATTTCTTTGAATAGTAGTAAGTAAATATTTATTTACAGTATATAAATATTTATTCAATAAAAAAAATGTGACAGATAAACCAAATTAATAGTTTTTGTATTAAATAAATATATGTTTACATCATTTAATATTTAGTAAATATTTACTTAGAATTTAAATTATTCAAATAAATATTTATTAAAATTTAGTATTTTTTCAGTGTAACTTGTATGTATATATAACAATATTATTTTAAATAAAGATTTTAATGAAAATAAAGCTTTTTATTGCGAATTTTCGATGGAATTGCATATTTAAAGGTTCGTAAAAAATAGTTATTAAAAAAGACAGAAAATGTATTATACAATATTCATACAAAATAATATATTTTACAATAATTCACATTTTTTTTCGCCGCTAGGATATAAATATATCCAGGTGACTATTCCCGCGCAGATTAACGTTATGCATGATAACATCGTTAATAGAGTCACATCAATTCGTTCAGGTTTCGAAAATATCACGCATTTCCATCTTGTAGATCGCGCAAAATGTAAGCTGATAAGCGTAACAATTTGAACGATGAAACGGTGCAGCCGAACAATTTATGAAAAAATTCACGACATCAGCAGGACACAAAATAAGACTCCCGTTAATGACTCGGAAGTGTATTACCTCGCTTGTCCATCCAGCCGAGGGACGCGCGGATAAACGTATAAATTGAGTTTCAGCGACGGTGCTGAAAATGTAAATCCTGAATGCAGGCGATCTGCTTTCTCAATTATATCGCCGGTGATGGATGAATCCCAATGGGTGTCCTGCTTTCCCGAAGAAAAGCGACGCTTCCGCGTCCCTTTTGTTGCGGCCGCTGTGCGCTTCCCGGATTTTATTCATAAATACTGCATGACGAGATGTTCGCAGCGTCGGTCACTTTACCTCGGAAATCGTCTTCTTCATAAGATTTAAGTCGATAAATACAGTCATATAATATAAACTTCTCATCACATCATTATTATGTAACTTATTATGTAACTGCTTTTTGTTAAATTCATCTCAATTAGTTTTTCCATGATAAATACCTTCGCAGTTAATCTCTCGAAATTTTCCCGAGAGCAAATTAATAGGTATTATATTTTCACGAGGGATCTAATTGTTAAAAGTGCGATGGAGAATTAGTGGACCACTCTACAGAACTACAGACCATAGTGGAAGGGAGGCTGTCGGGCAGTTACTCATCGTTCTTTTTTGTCTCGTGCATATAGAAGAAACTTTTCAACCTATCACTATATGACTGTGTTCGCACATATATGTCATATTATATATACACGTGAGACGCAGTCACATACCGCGAAAATGGGATCTTTCGAGTTTTGTTTGCCACGTTTTCGGCTATTTTAAGGGAGACAAGTCGCGACGTGGACCAAGCTAATTCCGTAATCAAAGCGCGAAACGTGAAAGATACTTACAGACAAACATAAATTATTCTCAGAAGTGTTCGCGTTTCGACGCGAGAGTCGGTCATGTCATTTTTTTGCGTACTTTGCGAGATACTTCGCGAATCGTTTAACCCTTAACTGATGTGAAAAAATGTCACACTTCTAACATCGTAAATCCCTTACTACTCAAATGTTATTTTTCAAAGGTAAAAAAATGATTAATCTTGAGAGAAAACACTTTTATTATATCTTTTTAATGTTTGGATCCTTATTTACCTGTTTTCATTCAAAACTAATATAATAATCACCATTGTATTAATCTTCATTTAAAATACCTACAATCAATAAACTTTTCTATCAACTTTTCTATTAACAAGGAAACTCATGGAAGTGTCGCCTTCCAATTTTGATGAGCTTTGAATATTAAATTAATTAAATTAAATTAATTAATTAATATGTTATTTTCTAGAAAAAAAGTAAAGGACACGTATTTTTTTATTAGGGTTCAATTGCACTTTTAGATGTTTAATATCTCTTTGAAGAAAATTAGTTGTTTTTTAAAACAAATATTGTCGAAATTGTAAGAGATAGAAAAAATGTTCGAAATAAAAATTGAATGGTTTTTAAGAACATTTAATAATTATGATTAAAAAACTTTTTTAATTTTTATTTTTTATAAATAAAATTTTTTTATTAAAATAATTTTTTTTTAAATTATAATTATAAAGTACTTTTTAAATCAACTTTTTAATTCAACTTTTATTCAGAACATTTTATTCTATCCTTTCTTACAGTTTCGACGATATTATTATTACTCGCTTCGACAAAATTTTCTTCAAAGTATTACACTCCCTAAAAGTGTGATTGGGCCCTTTTACACAAAGATATTTGTTCCTTATTTTTGTCTAGAAAACAACATATTCAAAGCTCACTAAAATCTCAGGAAGCTACTTCCATGAGTTTTTTTCTTGAATGTGTGAATAAAATTTTTCTCGTAAGCAAAATTTTCTTGTAAATAAAATTTGATATGGATCTAATGGATCCACGTCAGTTGAGTTAATCGTTCACGATTTAAGAAAGGGACTGTGCTAAGACCGCGTAAGTGTACTTGTTCCTTTTCCATAGGGCATTTCCTCGGGCGTTATGGTGGAAGGAAACCGTCAGGGTGGAGAGAAAGAGCTACCGCAATGCAGGCAAGGGCGTTGTCAGGGGCGACCCTAGCGACCCTAAAGCCTCATTCGCACCGAATGTGCCGCGATACGTTTGCGGAACAATACCCGTGTGTCCGATCAGTCTTTCGATTTCGATTCGATGTGTTGGCCATGCAGACCATAGTTCGTCCGACCGGTCATTCGGATTTGTGCGCTCGTCATTTGTCGACCGCACGCTGGTGTGATGTAAAACCGCTCTCGATTCACACATTCGTAGCGAATTTCGTAATAAGCCGCAGAACTTGATGGACCACGAGACCACTAATACCACAGCAAAACATCCTTTTAATTTCCTGTGACCCGATTTCACTGTAAAATTAACTTTCTTAATCTCGATTTAACTAGCTATGTGTTAAACAAAGTATATCTTTTAAGATTGTAATGTGAATATACAATAAATAGGAAATAAAAATCCTGATAAATGGCCAAGCTGGATCTTCGGTGTGAATTTGTACCACCATATCTAATTCTGCAAACTGCGTGCCGAATTTAATTTTTAATCTTGAAACATAATTCTAACAGGACTAAAGTAATAATATTAATTTACAAGCAATTTAATAATATTGATGCTTATAGTTTAATGGTCTGATGCCGATAAGCATTCTAAAATTAGAAATAGATAAAGAATAAATTAAATGAAAATTATATAAAATTAATTTTGGTTTAATCGGTGACGTCTAAATTTACGAAGATTTGTTCGTGCAATTGTTCTTTTACATTCAAAATCATATGCTTTCTCTTTTTCCACTATTCGAATATGTTATTTTTATCTCGTTTTAAGCACAACAATTTTTGGAGATAAGTAAAACGCACTAAACGTCAATTAATATTAATGTCAATTAAAATCCCATATTTTTTTGAAACATTTGAGTCGCGATTTAATTTGCGTATGCAATTTCCGTCCTATTTCAACATTGTTATTTTCTTTTTTTCCGATATATTTGCAATTTAGAAATTGCAATTTAGAAAAGTTTTTCTCTATAATCTAGATATCTCTCTTGGTGACAGGCTTACCGGTGGGTAATAGAACGCGCGACGTAATCCCGTTAATTCCTCGTTATGCAAATGGCGGGAGACACTCGATTGCGTAATTGTGTTGACCTTCAGTTGAACTGCATCTACATTTCCGGGAGAAATTTGGAGGCATAGATTCTAAAATTCTTCCACGTACACCATAAGTCTTTTAGTTTTAGCTGCACTTTCTGCAATTACCTTGAATCTTTTTGTTCCTCCTCCATCCTTCCGTTCTTCTTTTAAGCTCGGAGTATTCGTCTTGTTTCGCTTTAAATGCAGGAAGCGTAAGAAAATGGAGCTGAAAAGAGCACACTTTACGTTCGTCCTTTAAGTTAATTAGGAAAACTAAATTATATATACGAAAGCGCGAGACGGTTACTAATCCAGGCGTTGCTTACCTACTATCGATATTGCGTTTAGAGCGGATCTCGAGAAATCTGTAGCTCATATTATCAATATATTCACGATATTGATCAAGATTCGATGTAAATATCTAACCGATTAATTGTTCTTCCATGCGTCCCGCCTGTCCTTTCGCGAATCGATGTGAAGGGATAGTCATTAACCGACCATGCATAGTGGTGTCGAATTATATCAAGCGCCAAATCAAGCTCGCCGGACTCGTGGGGGGGAAACTGCTCTCTGTATTTACTCGTCCCATTAACGCCGGATTAGTATGTGGAACGTAAACGCGCGCGTAAAATAGAGACGAGTTAACCGAATTACCATAAATCGATGCTATGCCGTGCCTTTACCGCGCGCTCGCTCTTGCGCCTGCGGCAACATCAACGGCAACAACATCCGGATGCACAATGGTCGATGATGCCTTGCCGGTGTCCATTGTATCCGATGGACATCCCACGATCCGTTAATTCATCGCAGATTTACTTTAACTGTCTCAGCTTGCGCAATAGTTAGATAAAGACGGCTGATATTTAGAAAATTAAGGTCACGTCGACGTGTTATTTTAGCCAGTCTGATATGACTAGAGGAAGCAGTGGAATAATGAGGTTTACTTATTTTCGTTACAGGTCGATTTGAAACCCTTGCGAGAGGCGGCGGTGGCGGTCCCCGCGCCGAAAATTACCGAGAAGCGAAAAGCTGAAGATGCTGATGCCAGTAAGGATCTGAAGAAGGTAAATACATTCGGCTTGTTTACGCTGACTGTTTGAAGAACGCTTTAATAAATTATAGCGCGACTGCAGTATTAAAGGTTGGTTTTAAAATGAGGTCGGAATGTCTATGCTTCAAGGATACTATCAAATTACGAGTTACTTCGATATTTAGTATCTCCAAGCTTCACTGGCTTCTTTAGAAACTTCAATTAGCCGAGCAAGCTCGTTGTTTGTTGTTTTATGTGCCGGACCGATTTTCGAAATTGCCAGAACTCTCTACATCGACCGTTTTTGACGCATCGCTATTCCTGCCGTTCCATATGTTTCCCGAATCGTATCGTTGCACCGTGCACGGTGTTATCGAGGATCACTGAGTGATTCTCGCATCGGTTAACGCCACGTTATGCGGCCGTGCTGTTAGCCAGGGGACCGGTATGGATGTCCATTTCCAAGCCCTCGTAACTCACCGAGGGTCGACTGACATTGCGGGAGAGGGAACATCGCGGGTTAGAGTTAGGAGCAGATCACGTGTATCTATATCCATTGCACTATCTATTCGCTGTCGCGTATCTCTCTGTCGTCCTCGTCGATATTCGGCGCGTCGTGGCGTGAGGCACAGCCTCATTAGTCTACCCGCCTATTCGCTCTCTCATTAACGAAATAAACGCGGTCGAGAGGCGGCGAGTCCGGTTGGGCTTTGAGAAACCCGAGTTGTCGGTAGTCACTGTTGCAAGAAGCCACTGATGGCCTTTGGCGTTTAGCTATACGCAAGTTTGTTCTTCGATGTGGCGAGAATTAATGACGTTGCCATAATAATCGTGATAGAATAGTAACTATAACGTGGTATACAAAAAAGATATTGAAGAATTTTCTCAATACATTTATTTTGCTCAATATATTTATTGCGACAAATATGCGAGTTTCAGCTGAGGTAATATTTTAAATTAAATTATTTATAGTGTTATATAATATAGTATTATTATAATATTAAATTATTAAATTATTTCTTAAGATGCTTAGACTAATATCAAATTATCAATATTCTTCTAAGATGCTTATCAGCATCAAAAATTATTAAATTGCAATTTAATATAACATTACTCTAGTTCTGTTCATAATCGCGTTTCAAGACCGAAAAAGATTTCGATATGCTATTTGCAAAATTATATATATATATAAATTCACTATGATGAAGCTAAGATCCTAAGATAAGACTTTGAAAAAATAGATTTATTTCTCTTAATTGATAAAGAAGACCTATAATTTATTCTTACAGACTTATTTTCGTTGTATTTTAGTTGTACGTAGATTACAAGTTTGCTTTTTGATGCAGCGAAAGTTAATGACGTTGTCGTAACAGTCGCGATAGAATAGTATAATACGTGATGTAAAAAAAAATCTTCCTCACTTTATTCTTGTAGACTCATCTTCGTCGTAGAAAATCACCAAGAAGATTGCGCGTTACGCAATCTTTTTTTTCATGAGAATTACTTCGTGGAACAGTGATCGTTACATTGCACCTAATATACGTTAATAGTCTTAATGGCGCATTCGTTCGCGCGATCTTGCGGAAAATGTCCAATCGACTGGCCATAATGACCATGAAACATCATGGATAAAAATAGTCAAATAAATATTTTTTCGATGCATCTCATGAAAGAGATACGCTGCGATTTATTCCCGCTCCGTGTCTTTCCCCTCCATAATTTGCTTGCGATTAACCCCTGTGATTACCGGGCTGTTTATTTTTTTCTTACGTTCAAGCAGTAATAGTTTACAGTTTCGCTTCGAGTTAAGCTAAGATAGCTAGGAAATTAATTGCCCAAGGCAGTCGCTTAGGAGTCTCGAGCGAGTACTTTGGCCAAGCAATAGCTCGTTAATCCACCATTGATCTAAGTAAACCGGAAGCTTCGAAGACATATTTTAAACTCGCATTCAGTGCATTGTTTTCTCCTCCATTTTAATGTCCGATTTTTTATTTGCTAGTTAACTGTAGGTTTAACCTGATGTTAATATAAAAATTGTATTTTTCTATCTATCACTATTTATCACTAAAATTGATTTGTAGTGAATAACTTTTAGGCTCGGTTTTTCATTATCCGTTAAATGCCCGTTTCTGTTAACATAGTTTAATATTAATCTCGGTTTAAAACTCGGTCACCAACTTTTCATCTTTTTCTAGTTCTAAAAATTTGAATCGAGATTAAAATTGATAGGAACGGGCATAATTTGTGGTCTTTATACTTTACTTCACTTGATAATGTAATAAGTGTATTTTTCTAACTGATGAGAGATTAATCACTGAAGATTTTATAGTGGTAACTTTAAAAGTTATTCACTACAAAACTATCAGCTTAGTAATTAATCATTAGATAGAAAAGTGCAATTTTTACTATTCAGTTAAGCCTAACTGCAAGTTAACCAGCAAATGAAGAACCGGACCTTACCACAGAAAACCATTAGTTTAGTGATTAATCATAGCTAGAAAATCACAATTTTTGCATTATCATCAAGTACAGCGAAGTTAAGTCTAAATCATAAGTTAACCATAATGAAAAACTGAGCTTAAGACGTGCTTGAAAATACATATCTCGCCGCGTGTTATTCCAGCAGCTTAACTTTCACGGAAAAATGAAACCGAGCGAGAATCGCATCGCGGGTGAAACGACGGATGAGTAAGCAGTAAGAAAAGAGGAATTATTCTCGACATGCGTTCCCTCCGTCTCTCGATCAATCGTGACGGATCCAATTGATTCCAGCACAACGATAGAAACAAAATCACCGTCTTAACGGAAATGTCGCACTGCAAGCAATCCGTGTACAGCAACAGGCGGCGACAAGCCCGTGCCAGAGATTCGAGGCGAGATGTTTGTGTGCGTATGTACGTGCATTTGCGCTGAATGGTCGTTCTCCATTTCGTTGCTCTTTTTGCTCGTTGCGAACCCGGCGTTGAGAAAGTACATTACGCTGAATGTCGCAGCTACTATACGACGTCACCTTTTGCGCGGATTTACTCCTTTTCCTTGTACTCTGTCTTGTGCTTCGCACAAGAGGTCGCGGAACTCTTTGCGCGTCACGATGAAAGAAACGCTTTTGGTAAGGTAGACGATACGTTACACCTAGGCGTGCGAAAGTAATTTATCTCGGCGAGTCCCTGAGTGCAGTGACGACTCTCTCTCTCTCTCTCTCTCTCTCTCTCTCTCTCTCTCTCTCTCTCCTATTCCAACGCATCGTAAATTAGCCTCGGGAATACGCATGCGATGACAAATTGTTGCGCGCGAGCGACTCGATGATGAAGTAAGATATCTCGTGTGCGCGACTTAAAGGGCTATCTACAATGAGAGTAATATGATGTAGTAAGTCATAAGCCGTAAGAAATGAACTCATATTGTTAGATCAAGAGGGCAATAGTAACCCAACCCTTGAGTAAAATAACATTTTGTTATATTTAAGTTCTGTGTGAAAATGTAAATCAATCCCTTTCTGTAATTAGTCTGAAAATAAACATCGTTCATATTAACGTATTCTGCAAAATCTTTGAAGTGGAATCTAATTCTAAAAAGCGACAAGGAATGATAATTAAGCCAGTGTTGAAAAAGATTGACTCATTTGTCAATTTTTAAGAGTAAGATTTTACTTTTTAGAATTAGATTCCACTCTAAAGATTTTAGAGAATATCAACTTAATAAATAACGAACTAAATTGTATGCAATTTGAGTTAAATTTAATACATTTTCTTGGTTAAGTGCTTAACCTCATTATTTTAGTTAAATTAACGACATATTGATCTCATAATCACCTTAATAAGGATTCAAAGATCATTCTTTTTTGTCTCGTCTCTATACCTTTCTAATCATCTCTATCTTTTCCTTTTCATCGTATAACCAATTTCAGTCTGCCTTATTTTATGTTGTAAATATTTCAACCTATTATTTAATGATGTTCGTTCTTCCATATCTAACTTTCACATTCAGATCAGCAGCTTCAACATAATTTCTCATTTTTATTAATAATATTAGTACGTTTAATATAATATTATTATGTAATATTATTATGTTTAATATAATATTAGTACTTTATATTTGTTTTTTCATTTTCTCATACTTTTGTTTTTATATTGTGCTATTATTTTTATAATAGCAAAACGTTATTCACTGTTATACAGTTATTTATTTTTGTTATAAAACTTTTATCAAGGTTTAGACGTATATAAGCAGCACTTTGCTGATGCCTCATCTTTTGGGATGCCGCCCTAGAATTACATTATGTAAACCATGTCTGTAAATTTATATTTTTTAGCACGTCAATAAAGTTTATTATTATTATTATTATATTGAGTAGAAGCGACTTATAGATATAATTTATAAAAATAATTCAAATATTCAGTACAATTTGACATTATGAATTTAAAAGTGCATTACAGACGAATGTGAAAAGAATAATAAAATTACGATTGGTTAGTTTCTTACAGTTTTTACTTGATATTATTATACACAATATTATCCTCATTATAGACGAACTATATAAGAAATGATTAAGCTTCTCATTATTTTACGGCTGTTAAATCTTATCGTGGAGATGATCATGTTGTCTCATTATGGGAAGGGAATGAGCATGTCATCTTGTATAATGCGCGTGTTACGCGAATGTATACACGCGCGAAAGGCAGATACAGCGTTCGAATGCGGCAGAATTTGCTATGTCCGAAATGGGAATGCACACGCGGGTCACCGCCTGGCATGTCTCTCTTTGTCATCCTCCTCTGTGCATTCCACGCGGCTGCGTTTGTACATTCGATATTACAGCACGTGATATTCCGTTTGCAAGGTCCTCCCCCGCATAAATCCGCCGACGAAAATATATATCTTGGCTGTCTCGTGCTTGGAACAGCAGGAGGGCCTGCGTTCTCTACGAGGAGGACTACGATGTAGGACGTAGAGGCCTAAGGCGAAGGGCGAGCTTAAATGGAACGCGCGAGATAGTGAGAGGTGGAGGAAGGGAAGCTTTGGGAGAAACTTCGA